TTAACTACACTTATTGTGGTAATCATTTCAAAATATAGGTATGTCGATATATATCAGGTGCTGCACTCCTGAAACTTCACAGGGTTGTATGTCAATTACACCTCAGTAAAACTAAAATAGAAATAACTGCCTGTTGTTTAAGCCATTCTGTGGGTACTTTGTTACAGCAGCCCTAGAAAACCAACACATAGAGTGTGTAGAGATTGTTGGGTGAGTGGACAGACAGATAGATGTTTAAATACTTCTGTCTGGAAGTTTTCTCATCAGCCTGTTGTAAAGGGTTCTCTCAGAAGTTGGCTGAGAAGACACTGTCACTTCTTACTTTGTGGATCCAAGTCTTACTTCCATCATTTCCAGTCCAGCACACAGGAAGCCTAGGAGACAGCACTCCCCACTAACAACAAGTTAAAAGGAGAAAAAAATAAAACACACAAATCCATAATTCCTCTTTGATCTGTAAGAGATGTGAGGTCACAGGACAAACCACTGCCCCAAAAGGGAAGAGGCAGAGAACCACACTTGTTGGATCGGAAGACTCTGGGGGGACGGTGCTTGGGTAGGGGCACTGAACTGTGGCCTGCCGGCTGGAGGCTCAGTGTGGACAGTCAGAGAGACAAAATGCCACAGGCCCAGTCACAGAGGCCCTCTGCTTTTGTAAGTTTTACCTCCAGGAGCTCAATGAAACCCTCACAGTGACCTTCAGATAAAAATCCCTTTGTGCTTTTAGCAGAAGGAGGGGGGAAAGAACTCCATTCTTCTTAACAGGACTTGTTCACAGAAGAGACTGGTTACCCAAAGCCTGCCCTGCTGGGATATTGTCACAGCTTAACTGGCCTCGGGGAAAGGAATCCTCGGTGTGAGCCCATGTGGGGACCTGTTTCACCTAACGGGGCAGGGAATGCGAACTCTGATGCAGGAGCCCCAGTCCAGAGGCCCAGGGTCACCAAGGACTGAAACCTAATCCTAGGGTGACAGATGCATCCCACTCCACACCTTATCGCTGTGTAACTAAAGGCCTATTTACAGGAGTTCCTTTACCCCATACAGCATGTCTGGCTATCAAGAAAAAATTACAAGACATAGTAAAAGGCAAAAAATCAGAGTTCAAAGAGACAGAAAAAATCAGAACCAGACTCACATATTACAGCACTGTTAAAATGAACAGATCAGAAACTTAAAACAAGTACAATTAATACACTAAGGGTCCTAATGCATAAAGTAGATAACACACAGGACTGACAATGTGAGCAGAGAGAAGGAAATTCTAAGAAAGAACCAAAAAGATATGTTAGAGATAAAAATCATTGTAACAGAAATAAAGAATGCCTTTGATGGGATTAACGGGAGACTGTAAATGACTGAGAAAAAACAATCTCTGTGCTTTAGGATTTTAATACAAATTTTCAAAGCTGAAAAAGTTAACAGGAAATAAAAACACTGGGAAAAAAAGATCAGAATATCCAAGAACTGAGAAACAACAATATAAGTCCATGTATGGGTGTAACATACACACAATGGGAATTCCAGAAGAAGGAAAAGGACAGAAAGGAACAGAAGAGCCATGTAAGGCAATAATGGCCAAAAACTTCCCTACAATTAATGTGATGTCCCTAACCACAGATCTAGATAGCTCAGAGAACACCAAGCAGCATAAAATGCAAAATAAACAAACAAAAACCTACAGCTAGGCATATCATTTTTAGAATATAAAAAGTCAAATGTAAAAGAAAAATCTGAGGGAAGCCAGAGGAGAAATAATCCTTGTCTATTGAGGAGCAAATATAAGAATTACATCTGACTTATCCTCAGAAATCACGTGAACAAGAAGAGAATGAAGTGAAATATTTAGTATTGAGAGAGAAAAAAACCCTAAAAGTCTGTGAAATTATCCATAAAAAATGAAAAAGAAACAGACTTTCTCAGACAAAAAAAAAATGAGGAAAACTGTTGCCAATAAACCCACCTTGCAATAGGTATTTTTTGAAAGTTCTTTACAGAGAAGTAAAATAATATAGGTTAAATGCACATAAAAAAAAGAAAGCATCAGAAACAAATAAAGGGAAGGTAAAATAAAAACTTTTATCTTTCTTATTCTTAACTGATCAAACAGATAGCATCCTGTTCAAAATAATAATAATAGAAAAAATGTATTCATTTATTTATACTGATGTGTAAATATACACTCATATAGAAGTGAAATTAATGACAGCCATGATACAAGTAACAGGAGAGCGGAACTAGGACTATTTTGTTATTATAAAGTATCCATATGACCTGTGAAGCAGCAGAAGATTATTTGAAAGTGTTTCTGGCTGGTGTGGCTCAGTGGACTGAGTGCCAGCCTGGGAACCAAAGCATCACCAGTTCAACTCCCACTCAGGGCACAAGCCTGGGTAGACAGCCAAAGTCCCCAGTAGGGGGTGCATGAGAGGCAACCACACATTGATGTTTCTCTCTCCCTTCCCCTCTGTCTAAAAATAAATAAAATCTTTTTATAAAAAGATTATTTGAAAGTGGACTTAAATTAGTTGTAAGTGTATATCAAAAAGTCTAGGGTAGCCACTAAAAAAAAAAAAGAAATATATACTAAGGAAAAAAAGACAGTAAAATCATATAAATACTCAATTAAAACCACAAAAGAAAAAAAGAGGAAGACAAAAATAGGACCAAAGAACAAGGGAAACAAATAGAAAACAGGAATAAAAATGGTAGATATGAATCCAACTATATAAATAGTTACTTCAAGTATTAGTGGTATAAATAAAACAATTAAAAGACAAATATTGCAGAGTGAACAAAAAACAAGACCCAACTACATGTTATCTACACAAAACCCACTTTAAATGTAAAGATACAAACAGATTAAAACTGAAGAGATGGAAAAAATAAAAGTAAAATGATAGAGAAAAATATACCATGATAACACACACAGACACACACAGTGGAATATTATTCAGCCCTTATAAAGGAAATCCTGCCATCTGTAACAACATGGATGAACCCAGGGGATATTATGCTAAATGAGGTAAGTCAGACAAAGTAAGACAAGTGTTGCATGATCACACATACATGTGGAATCTAAAAGGAGAAGGCAAACTCACAGTAACAGAGTTGAGTGGTCATTACTGGGGCTGGTGGTGAGGGAGGAAGACTTTGGTCAAAGGGCAGAAACCCTGGGTTAGAACACCGGTACTCTGGAGACCTGTGTGCAGCATGATGGCTGTAATCAATGGCAATACATTGTAGGCCTGCTATTTGCTAAGAAAGTAGAGCTCAAGCATTGTTACCACAAAGAGAAAGGTAAGGTTGTGAGGTGATGAACCATTTGTGGAAATTAATTCACAATGTATACATATACATATCAAAACATCATGTTGTACTTATTAAGTGTTTATGATTTTATTGGTCTATCATACCTCAATAAAGCTTGGAATATATTTTTAAATAAAGCAGAAATGGCTATATTAATTTTGGGCAGCACAGCCTTCATAGCAACGAAAGTTGTCAGGGATAAAGTGGGCCATTACACAACGATACAAGGAGTCAGTTCTCCAAGACCATATAACAATCTCTCCTTTTAGCTGTTCTGAGACCTTATTTCTAACATGGGGGAGGGGCATCCACATCAACAAACAGTTATCAGATATAAGCATGGTATCCAAAAATTCAACTCAGTTCTGACACTATCTGCCCAAAGACAATATCAGATTCCACAGGCTGCGGCTCAGTCCTGCAAGCCTGCACACCACCTGGCTGCCTTCAGGAGCCAGCTGCATCATCACCTCTGACTGACCGGTTGTAAATCAGAGGGTCCCACAACCTTTCCTTGGGTTTAATTAATGTGCTAGACTGGCCACAGAACTCAGAGAAATGTGTTACTTACTAGATCGCCAGTTCACTGGGGATAATGTTAGTCTCTGCAGCTAGTAAAGGATTAACAAGAGAAGAGAGAAAACTGGCTTAGCCTGATGAAGTTGAGAAAATACAGTTTCACAGACACTCCAGGAAATAGCTGGAATTGCTCCATCAAATGGATTAACCTGAGTGGGCAGAAAACACTAGGTTTCCAATCATCCCAGGAAACAAGTGGCCAGTTCCCCCGGATTAACAGGGGGAAGGAAGAGATGCATGAGGAGGTACTTCTACTATGAGGCAGGTGCAGTAGGAGCCAAGATGGCAACCCTAAAGGATAGGAGACACACCTGAGAAAATCTGGGGAAAAGATTGGATAGGATTGGGTAGGATAAGGATGCAAGCCCAGGAAAAACCAAAAAAGAGATTGGCCAATTGGAAAGAAAGCCTGCTCTCTCCCAAGCCTAAGGAAATACAGGGAAGCCTGGAAAAGGCCCCAGTCTCTTTAGCAGCTACACAGGCTAAAGCATAGCACCCATTAAGGGCTGGATGGAGACAGAGGCTAAGCTAGATTACTGGAGCCTCAGATGCCAGGGTAATGGACCCTGGCCCTACTCCTGGGCTTGGTGGGGACAAGTGTGAACCTGCAGCCCTGAGCATTGGGACCAGCACCCCCAGCCCCCGACAGCAGAACTCTCAGGAGCAGAACCAATGAACAGAACCCAACATCGTAGCCCTGTCAGGATAAGAACTCCCTCCTACTGCAGTGGCCACATCGTGCAGCAGTGGTCACACTGTACTGCAGTGGCCACACCGTGCAGCAGTGACCACATTGTGAAGAAGTGGACACATCGTGCAGCAATTGTTGACTTGCATGGAAGTGTTCACACATAAAACAGGTGACTATCCCCATAAATGTTTTAGAAGCAAGTGGAGAATTGGGAGGCACAATCTGTTTGATTCCTTTTGACTCTGAGTCTTCAACTCCACAGTCATAAATACCTTACTAGCAGTAGGTAGTATATTCAAACCCTGTCAAAAATTGTCTTCTTTGTTCTCTACCCTCAAATCTGAGCAACCCCAACATTTCCCAATAATGCAATTTTGAAAAGAAGTTGCTTTTCTACTGAGACACTATGAACACTTACCCCAGTTTCTGCAGCTTACATTGTGGATGCTTGGCTTTTTCACATAGCATTCTAACGCCCAAGTCGCCCAGGGCATTTTCCCCCAGGTAGAGTCTGGTCAGGGACGGGCTGGTGGTCAGAACAGACGCAAGATCCACACAGCAGGCCGACGTGAGACAGCAGTTGATCAACCTTCGGCAGAGATGGCAGAATGCCAACATACCTGTCACCCACTCTGCTGTGAACCCAGAAGCATGTATCCCATCACCACCTCTAGTCCAAGCCACACACGGGGAGAGTGCATACAAGCTCTGTATTAGCTTTTGATTTCCTTTTCTGCTTGTCACCTTCTAAGCCCGCAAGCTTCTTCAACATATTCCCAGCTCCCAACATTTATTATTGTATTGAATATGCACAACATACAATTTGCCATCGTAAAGTAACCCTTTCTAACTGTACAGCTCAGTGGCATTAAGTACATTCATGTTGTTATGCAGCCATCCCCACAGTCCATCTCCAGAGCTTCTCCATCTTCCCAAACTGACACGCTGTCCCCAAGAAATAAGAATTCCCAGTTCCCTTCCCCTAGCCCCTGGCACCCACCCTTCTACTTTTTGTCTCTATGACTCAGATCACTCTAGGGGCCTCATTTGTGCAAGTGGATCATACAGAATTTGTCCCGTTGTGTCTGGCTTATTTTACTTAGTATAATGTCCTCAAGGTTTTCCCATGTTGTGCCATGTGTCAGAATTCCTTTTAAGACTGTATTTGTGTATATATCACATTTTTAAAATCTATTTATCCATCAATGGGCACTTGGGGTGCCTCCACCCTTTGGCTATTGCAAATAACACTGCTGTGGACATGGGTGTACAAATATCTGTTTGAGAGCCTCTTTTCAACTCTTTGGGATAGATCCCCAGACTTGAAATGGCTAAGTCATTTGGTAATTCTATGTTTAATTTTTTTAAGGAACTGACACACTGGTTTCTGCAGCAGCTGGGCCATTTAACATTCCCATCAGCTACGTGTGAGGTTTCTAATTTCTCCACATTCTCAGCAACGCGTGTTGTTTTCTGTTTTGGTTTGGTTTGGTTTGGTTTATAATCACCACCTAATGGGTGTAAATCAATCCAATCATTTTCAAGTGCTTTATTTTCTTCTTTGAAATCCAAGTTGTGAAAGGCCACATAGATGATCAGGCATCTGCATTGCTTCAGCACCACCTGTCCTGGTCAGTGCAGAGACCAGGGGCCTGTCTAGAGTCCTAAGACCCTTCTAGAGCAGTGCTTACATTGGCTGTGTATTTTCAGCAGGGCTGTGAATACCTTAAAAGAAACATAATTCCTTTTACCGAGTTTCCCTTCCAGGGCTCAGTATGTGGCCTTTCCCCCAGCAACACTACCTGCCTGACACCCAGAGGTGAGCCAAGGCTGACCGTCCGCACACAAGCGCCCAGCCTGCAGCTCGCTGAAGCCTCAGCTCACTCACCACAGTTTCTCCAGGGGGCAGAAGGCACGCTGCAGTCCCACACACAGGAGCCGAAGCCCAAGATGCGTCAGGACATTGTGGCTCAGGTCCAGCTCCAACAGCTTCATGGAGCCACTCAGCGCGGCAGCGAGGTGGGAGCAGCAGCGGTGGGAAAGGCGGCACCGCCTCAACCTGGGGCCAAGCACATGAGCAGAATGCACATCACCTGTGCTGCCTCCCGTCTGCGCGCCTGTTTGGAGCCCAAACAGGGGCCCTTGTGTTCTCACGTTACAAAGGGAAAATCATAATGAAGTTTTTGGGAAAGTGTCATCTTATCTGAACCTGAACATGGCCCAAGACATAGGGAAGGGACACACTGCTGAGTCCCAGGCAGTGGACTCTCTTCCTCAATAATGGTCAAGTCTCAAATACACAAGCAGCACGTTCCTGTTCTGTAAGTAAAAAGGGCAGTGAACTCACTCACACAGACGCTGAGCTCTAGAGGGGTCTTCACCTTCTCTCTGCCGACCTCATCCTGCTGCTCTGCTCAGTGCTTCCATCCCGGACCCCGTCCACACAGAGGGAGCAAGCAGCTGATTCTTGATTTGATTTACACCGACGCATGTGCACACACACACATGCTCACATCACACATGTGCATGCACATGCACACACACTACAACAATAACAATGATTTGTCCTTGTTGTAGGAACAAGAACAATAAACAGCTCAGCTCCTTTCCAGGCCAGCAGCACAGCTGCCCCAGAGCTTTCTGGACCACCTCTCTTCCTGTCCCCACCTCCACACCAGCTCCAGGAACAAGTGGACAGTTAAACCTGTATTTACCTGCAAAGCACCTCATCACCACCCATGTGTCCCTGCTCATGTCTCTGTCCCTGGAATCCCACAGGGGCACCCACAGGGACAATGGGGGTAGGAGCAGGGGTGGCGGGGAGGGGGGTGTGGTTAGAAGCAGAGGTCAGATAATTGCCAAACCCAGTCAGAGCCTTCAAAGCCAAAATTGCAACCATTTGTAATTTATCAAAAGAGCAAAAGCATTTAAGTGAATGGAACATCATGATGAAAGTAGAATCATCCCTCTGATTTCTGCCCTGACAAGGGTTGGAGGGAAGCAAACAGCCAATCTCCCTTCAGTGCGTACTTCTGAGCAGAAACATGCACCCAGACACCACTCAGGCACTGCGGGGACAGCGGCCAAACCCACCCAAACCCCACCCTGGGAAGCCACTGGTCTTGGAAGCGATCACACTGTCCAGGCAAGTGGCTGTGGTTGTTGGGCCTGAGCTCGTAGAGTGAGGATGAGGAAAGGGGACCATGGCTTGTAAACAAGGTAAAGCTGAGAACACTGGGGATGGGGTGGGTATGATGAGCAAGACAGAAGGGCAGGAAGGCATTCGAGTGTTGGGCTGGTCACCATGCGGATGTGTTATGGAACAGGGCTACAGGGATGGCCCAAACACCATGTGCTCCACTCACACATACAAGCCTGATCTGTGGGTGGGCTCAAAGCATGCACTCAGAACAAAGCTACTGGGGGTTCCTGAGGACAAGTCAATCCACACAAAATGTGCTGAGGGGCTCCAGCCTTCTCTGTATGTGATGAAACTCTCAGATTCCCACCCATAAGCATGACCTGTGAGGACATGGAAGATACTGGAGATCATACCTTTTTATCACCACCAGCAGATGACCTGTTTTCAGTCCCCTCTTGTCCCTCTCTATCTGATGTTTCCCAAGTAACCGGACTCCAATCCATTCTGCCTTCTTCCTTGTCATGGGCTGAACTGTGTCCCCCACAAAAAAAAATCATACAGTGACATCTTAACCTCTAGGACCTCAGAATGTGGCTGCATTTGGAGATGGGGCCTTTAAAGAGGTGAGGGAGTTAACGTGAGGTTGCTACAGTGGGCTCTAATCTGACACACCTGGCATCCTTTTACGACAAGGAGACAGACCTGCACAGGCCCGGAGGAAGACACCAGCCACAACTGAGGGGACAGGCCTCAGAGGGAGCTGGCCCTCCCCACACCTTCACCTCACACTTCCAGCCTCCAGGGCTGTGGGAAATAAGTGTCCATTATTTAAGCCTCCAGACTGTGGCACAGTGTAATGGAGGCCATAAGAAACCAAGAACCACTGGTCTGGCCCCTGACATCTTCATCCAGTCCTCTCTCTCTCTCTCTCTCTCTCTCTCTCTCTCCCTCTCTCAATCTGTCACACACACACACACACACACACACACATCCTTACCACAATCTCTGAATGTTACAGCCAGGATTCTGGAGCATTTCACACAATATCTTCACCCCTGCGTCCCCCAGAGGATTGTCACTGAGGTTCAGGTCCGTGAGTTTCTGCTTCGTGCTCAGGACAGAGAAGAGGCCCTGGCAAAAATTGGAAGTGAGACAGCAGTTCGCCACCCTAGAAATTGGAAGGAAGGAATAAAGTTAAGAAAATCAGCCTGTGAGAACAGCAAATGATCTAAGGGGCCAGGAATGGCTGGCACTCGCTGAGACAGCAGCCTCCAGAGGTGAGAAATGAGTCAAGAACCATAGGCTGTCCACTGAGGAGAGGTGGGGCCAGGAGCCTGGGTTGAGACCACTCTGAGCATAGCACAGAGACAGTGTGAGCCTGTGACTTTGGCTGACTGCAAACTCCCTGTGGCCTTCCCTCAAGTGCCCCCCTACCCTACCCACTGCCAGTCCCCATGACTGAGCTATCCCTCTGCTAAGTGACACAGAGAGCAGTTCTCACCCTGGCTGCATGAGGGCGGCAGAAGTGTTCTCAAAGGTCCCTAGGCCAGGCAACACCCTGGGAATAATGTGGACCAGACTCATCAGTATTTCCAAGACTTCCAATGTGCAGTCTCATTCAAATACAGATTCTAACTCCATGGGTCTAGGGTTGGGCCAGCACTTCTAACTGGCACTGGGTGGGTGCCCCTGCCGTGGTCCCTAGAAGGTTCTAAAACATACGAAGCAAGCACCTGCCCTCAGAGGAAGGGAGCTGGGATCTGGAGAGATAACGGCAGGCTTTCCACCCCATGTGTCACTCTGAGTCTCTATGAGCTTCCTCACAGCTGTGCAGGCTTGGTCAGGCCTCTTGTTTTCTTGGTCTTGCTTCTAGGGCTCCAGTGAGCGGGTCTCCTTCTCCCACTCCCTCTCTCCACCTCTCCTATCTTCTTTCTAGTTATTCTAAACTACGTGCCCCCATGGAAACATATCTTGCTTTCCCACCTCCTACCCTCCAAGCCTTCTCACACCCCATCCTTCAGGAACAGCTGGCTGGGGGCTCCCCCTCTCGGAGCCTCGGGTGCACTCTGCAAGTGTTCTTGCCGTAGCCCAATTTCCTCAGTCTGCCTGAGACTCCCAACTGTCCCCACAAAGGAACCTTAAGTTTCTGTGAGAGGACCTGGATCTTAGCCACTGCTGAAGCCCCAGGGATGGTCCTTGGAAACCAAACAATAAAGGTGCTGGAGAGACAGAGAAAAGAAGTTGAAAATCATTGCTGCTGATGGAAGGGTCCATCCTTCATTCTCCTTAATTTTATCCTGTGTCTAGTGCCTCCTACAGAGGTCATTCTGTGCCCTCACAGAGCAACTGCCTCCCCACAGCTTCTGGGGCTGTGGTAGTCCCTGGGAGGACTTCAGAAGTCAGGTAACAGCTGCTCCACTGCCCACCAGTGCAGCCTTGGGTGCTCAACCTCTGCACATGGGCAAGCAGACCCTGAAGGTGGCGCTGCTGGTGGTGCTGCTGATGGCTGCCTGGTTGCAAGCACAGTGTGGGGCCTTGAAGCGCTCTCTCCCCTCTAGCCCTGTTTTCCTCAGTTTCCCCTTGTCACGTTTGTGCAATGAAGCCCTGTCCCTCCCCATTGTCTCCTGCACACACTCTTCCTCAGAACACATTCATGTGTTGTTCTCATCAGACTCACTGCCCAAACTCCTCTCCCTCCTCTCCACTCACCCCCACCCCATCCCCACTCTGTCAAGTCACAGACTTCACCCAGAGAAACCTCCCCCAGTGTCCAGCATGGAGGGCCCTCTGTCCTCTGTGATCCTGGGGCAGAGTCACTGGGCCACATTTGCCTCTTTGGTATTGACTGGCTGTTACCACACTAGAGCCCCAAGTGGACTGCAAGGAACTTGAGTTTGCAAACATTTTTATTCAGTTCCCCATTGCTTCCTTGGCTTTTTCTCATCCCACTTATCCAGCTACCCTTGTTCTACTGGTCAGTGTCTGCCAATGAAGGGATCTACTGGAAATGGTGGTGGCTACGGTATTGCAGAGCTGTGGCAATTGCATTTGAAAGACAGTTGAGAAGTGGGGAGAAGGAGTAAGTGCCAAGAGAAAGGTGGTGAAAAAGTGGAGGGCAGGCTCTACTGCCTGCCTGAATCCAGTCTCCTTACCGATGAGAGGAGGCTGAATGAGGGCCTGGGATGACACACTGCTCCACGTTGGAGTGTCGAGAGGCCTCCTCCTCCTCCTCTTCCTCCTCCTCTTTAGGTGAGTTATGGAGCCACCTCAGGGAAAGGAATTGCAAACTGGGACAGTTCTTGATGCAGAAAGAAGAAACCACGTGGTCCATTCTGGTGGAGAGACTGATCTCCATTCTGGGGAAGTGGCACATGGCCCTGCGCACAAAGTCTGCCTCCTGCATCTCGTACAAGCAGTAGAACAGCTCCAGCTGGCTGGGCTGCATCCGCAGGGTTGGGGCCTTGGCTTGGGCCTCGATCCACCTCAGCAGCTCCAGCCTGATGTGCTGGGAGATCTTACAACTCAGCTTCTTCTCCAAGTAGGAGGTTCTCTCCTGGTTTATGAGGCCAAAGAGGAAACGAACAACAAAAATCAGATACCCCTTTTCAAACTTGCCGTAGTTTTCAAGAAGGACTCTCACATCTCGGCTGGGGAGCTCACAAGGACTCTGCAGTGTGTTCTTGGTCCCCCGCTGCTCCTCCTCTTCCAGCAAGTAGTACATGGCAGCAAAGAACTCCTGGAAAGTCATGTGTATGAAGCTGTAGAACTTCTCACAGTCCACCTCCTTCTGGAATAGGTTCACCCTCAGGAACCCAGACACGTCAGCCTTCTGCAGGCCATGGTTCCTGAGGTCACTCTCCTCAAACAGGATCTTCTGATTCCAGATTCCATCCGCAGCCAACGAGCAGAGGCCCCGAAGGTTGGTGGAGATGTGCTGCCTCTGGCTCCCTGCTCGAGAATGCAACAGGCTGGAGAGGAAGAAGATGTACACTGCTGTGGTGGTCTTGGAGGTCTGGGTGAGACTCTTGCCACTGTCCATCTGCTGTTTCAGCCCAGTGCACACAATCCAGCAGACCAGGGGGATGAAGCACATGGTGAAGAGGACGTCATTCTCCTGGATCAGCCTAAAGGCTTCCCAGGCCTGCTGCTCATCAGAGAAGTATTTGAAGAAATATTCCTTCTTCTTGGCCTCTGAGAAACCCAGGATCTCCACGTGCCGTGGACGGTCCAGCAGATGGTGCAGCTTCTCCAGGGCCACAGGCCTCGTGGTGATGAGCAGTGAGGCCTCAGGGAGCAGCTTCTTTCTGATGAGGCTGCTTAGGACAATGTCCACACGCTGCACCTCCTGCCAGTCTACACAGAGCACCTCTGCATGCTCGTCGAAGGCCCCCTGCAGCTCATCGAAGCCATCCATGAGGAAGAGGATCCTGGCCGGCTTCCTCATGATCTTGCATAGGGGAGGGTTGGGGTCAGGGCAGCAGCTAGCCATCAGGTCCCCCAGGCTCCTGCATGTCCCCAGGCTCACCTCCCGGCAGTGGATGTAGAACAGGTAGTCAAACCTGTCTTGGTAAAGTTTCTCTGATGCCCAGTCTAGCATGATCTTCCTGGCCAGGATTGTCTTCCCGATGCCTGCTGAGCCCTGGAACACCACCGTGTGCACGGGCTCTGAGTGCGGGTCCTCAGGCTCAAACAACAGCTCCAAGTTCATGGAACTCAGAGGGCTATCCTGCATCTGGGCCACAGTCCTGCCGATGGCCATGAATTCCTGCTCCCGTTCCTGCTGGCTCGGGTACTCTTTGACAAGCCGCAGCCTGGTGTAGCGCTTATAGAGGTTCACACTCTCTCCCAGACGGGCATTCCTGTCTTTGATGCACTGGAATCTGCTTCTCACATGATTTCTGTATTTCTTACAGTAATCTGTGGCAGAGACAGAAAGTGAGACTCTGGGAGAAGCCCAAGCACGTCCCCCTCAGATGAGCTCTCTGCAGAGACCTGTCATCCCTAGGGAGTGGTGACTGGAGCTAAGAAATGGGGATGCAGTTCCTCCCCACGACTGGGTATAATTCTGGGGTGTCAACATTTTTCTACACACAGTTGAGCAGAACAGCCAAAAGCCTGGGTACTGCCCCCAACCAGAAAATCATTTTTTTTAAGATTTTATTTATTTTTAGAGAGAAGGGAAGGGAAAAAGAAGGAGAGGGAAATATCAATGTGCGGTTGCCTCTCGCACACCCCCCACTGGGGACCTGGCCCACAACCCAGGCATGTGCCCTGACTGAGAATTGAACTGGTGACCCCTTGGTTCCCTGGCCAGTGCACAAGCCACTAAGCTATACCAGCCGGGGCCAGAAAATCATTTTAATGTAATGTTACTCCCTTAGGTAGTCCGAAACCCATGCCTTTTAAAATCCAAAACTCTCAATGGTCTCCCCTTGGTTTGAGTACTGTAAGGAGCCAGGTAAACATGTACTGTGTCCTCAGCTATCAGGATTTCTTGAACAGGGCCTTTGCACCTCAAGGACCAGGAGCCCTCCAGGCAACCAGCCCCCAGCTTTCCAAAGCCTCCCAGAACGAATCTCCAAACCAAGTGAAAAGCACCACCCCCATGGTTACCTTTCTTTTTTTTGCAAATAGAGATTCTGGAAAGGTACCCCAATAAGCCCATCCATTCCTCTTCAAGGCTGTCTTCCCGGCATACCACAGACACATGTGCACCTTCTGAAAATAAAGGAAAAGCATGCCAACTGTCAAAAACTAGGACTCCTGACTAGGGTGATGTCACTGAGACACCACACAAGGCACAAGTCAAAGGCCCCTGCCAGGACATCAGTCAAACCAAAACACATCTCAGAGTTGCAGACAGCAGGTGTGCAGCCAAAGGTCTGGCCAGGGGGCATTCCAGTGGTCCTAATTTCAAAGCCATGGCATTGATCCACCCTCTAAGCATCATGTGCCCATAGGATCCAGTCTCAGAATCTCCCTCCCAGGCCCAGAAAGCAACCAGCAAACGTGTATGGCAGCAGGTTTCTCTGTTCCTCATGTGTCTTTGACTGTCTCCCCTACCCCCAGTGGTCTGGTGTTGGGGTCTCTCCATGCTCACCAGGATCCCCAAGGTGGCAAAGGGCCAGCAGGCTCACCCTTCCCTGACCCCAAATGCCTGGAATTCATTGTACCCACATTCTGGGCCTTCAAGAGGGAGAATTACCAATGTGGTTTGTGTCTAACTCAGTGGTTCAGAATCCTGGCTGACTTTAGATTCACCTATGAAGCTTTAAAAGTACTGATTCCAGGGCTTCACTCCCATGATTCTTTTTCAGGCACTATTATATTCTTAAAGCTCCAACCTGCATCCACAGTAGAGAATCACAGATCTGAATAGTCACTAAATGATACATTTCAAAGGGGCATTTCCCAGGAGAAACTTCGACACAGTAGAGCGAGAGCAAGGCAGCAGGGGAAGCACACAGTGTAGATGCCTGTGGGCGAGCAGGAGCCCATGGGGCCATGAAGGAGCACTAATAGGCCTCTGCTTACCCTGAGGGCAAATGTTACTGGTGGCAAAACAAAATCTGCATTAACTCAAAGCAAAACCACAACTTACCTCTTACCTAAAGCCTGACTCCAGCCACTCTTCTCACCCCCCAAAAAAAAGTTCTGACCCTGGTCATAATCCTTCCACCTCAAAAACCACGTGTGAGAGCCAAGATGTCCCAGTGGTTACCAGCCAGGCTTGGGCCACAGATGTGCCTGGCCTAGGCCCTCATGAGGACACAGCCCTAGGCAATGAACACTTCTTACAGGCTCACTTCACATTGCTAGGCAGCCAATTCCAGGATTCTTGCAAAAACTGAAAATCTGTGCCCATTGAATAATGGTTTTCCATTCCCCTCTCCCTAGAGCCCCTTGCAGCCACCTCTTTCTGTGTCTGCAAACTTGACTCCTCTGAGTGTCTCTTATACATGAATCATACCATTGTCTCTTTGGGGCTGGCATATTGCATTTACTGTAATGAAATGGAAAATTCATTTGAAAGTGCTGGCCTCGTGGTGTTCTTGTGAGAAATGAACAAAATCCATAAAAACTGCAACTAGGATTTCACTTGAATTTGGTCACTAAGCATGCAATTATAATTGTGTCGTCACATGCAATTTGTTCATAACACCCACTGCTGTGCACCCTGCTCACACTCCCTAGCATTTTCCTCTTCCTTGTCACATCTACATTGCTCTCCCACCTCACCGTGCTTCCTCTGACCTGCTGCATCATTGAAATCCTTCCTTTCTACTCGCTCAACATCATCAGTCTATGACTTGCTAGATTTCTCTGAGCCTGCCTTGTGCCCTTCCCTTGCTGAGGAGACAAAGCTGCTCCCGCCCTGTCCACATGCCCAAAGGAGCATCCTGAGAGGCTTCTCGCACACTTTGCACAGTCTGCAAGTGGGCAGATGGCCCTGAGCCAGAGACTCCAGCTGGTGGGCCTTGTGAGCAGATACAGAAGGAGCTGCAGGCAAAGTTGCAGCAAGTTTCAGATGCAGGAGAGATGTGGATAAAGTGGGGCTAATCAGGGAAGCTTCCTAAGGGTATGTGAGCCTTGACTTGGGTTTCTAAAGGAGTTAGAAAAAAAACTGCTTTCTTCCACCTTCTCATAGCATGATCATAAGAGGAAAAAAGAGAATGAAACTGAGAAAAATAAAAGAAATTATTAAAAAACAAACACACTAACTTTGATGCATCAGAAAGTACCATTAACAGAGTAAAAAGGCAACACATGGATGAAATGGGAGAAAATATTTGCAAATCATATGTATGATAGGGACTTAGTATCCAGGATATATAAGGAGCTCCTTCAAGTCAACAACAAAAAATAAGCAACTCAATTAAAACATGGGAAAAGAGCTTGAATAGACTTTTCTTCAAAGATAAATGGCCAAGAAGCTCATGAAAAGGCACTCCATATCACCAGTCAATAGGGAAATGCTAATCAAACACCAATGCAGTATCATCTCACACCCACTAGGACAGCTACTACAACAACAACAAAAATACATAAAATGAGTGCTGGCAATGATGTGGAGAAATTAGAACCTTAGTGCACTGTTGGTGGGAGTGTAAAATGGTGCAGGCACTGTGGAAAACCGTGTGATGGTTCCTCAAAAAAAATGAAACATAGAATTACCATGTAATTCAATAATTCCACTTCTGGGCATACACCTAAAAGAACTAAAAGCAGGGTCTCAATGAAATGTGTACACCCATGTTCATAGCATCATTATTCACAATAATGCAAAGCTAGAAGCAATCTGAATGTCCATTGATAAGTGGATAAACAATATGTGGTATATACTTACCATGGAATATTACTCTGCCTAAAAAGGAATGAAATCTCATCGTATATGACAACATGAATGAAGATTGAGGACTTCATGCTAAATGAAATAAGCAAGTCACACTAAAAGGCAAGTCCTATATGATTTTACTTATATGATGTCCCTAGAGGAGTCAAATTCATAGAGACAGAAAGTAGATGGTGGGTGCCAGGGGTGGAGGGAAGGGGCTGGGGAATTGTTGTTTCATGGAGACAGAGTTTTGCAAGGTGGAAAAGCATTCTGGTGATGGATTATATAGCAACATGAATGTGTTGAACACTTCTGAAACATATACTTAAAGATGGTTAAGATGGTAAATTTTGTGTTATGTGAATCTTATCACATTAAAACAAATTCTGTTTTCCTTGTACTCACCCCACTCTGGCTCATCCCTCTTAGCTTTCTCGTAAAGGTCTCTCCTGTTGATTGCAGCAAAAATCCAGACTGCCATACCCCACGCCTTCTGCTCCCCATTGAAGTCAATCATGAGGGTGGCTAGATCCACAGGATCTGCTTTCTCTGTCTGGCCCCGGGGGAGTGCAGTGCAGCCCTTCTGAGGGGGATAGTCTTCTAAGTGCATCTTGAACTTCTTAAAGTCCATGTCCTCCAGGTCCTCCAGGTAGTGGGCCAGCTTGCAGCGGACACTGGCCATGCCTATCTGCAGCCCTGGTCTGGGTCTTAGGGCATAGGTCCAGCTGGGAATTGGGGGTGGAAACAGCATATGGGTAAGGAGAGTAAAAGGACAAAAAGGCCCCTTTCAGGCCCCCTTTACCAGAGGTAGCTATCTCTGCCTTGAGCCCATCAAGCATAATTAAGAGTTGTTTCTCTGAGCCCCTATTCTCAGGACTGGAGAGATTACTAAAAGCATCCCCCATGCAGGTGCTTTAAAACTTACACAAACAGGACATACCAGACCAGAGCATCCAGACACTGAACCCCAAAATAACAGCAGAACAAACTGAAGCCTGCACAATCAGCCTGAAACCTCCTGATTTATAACTAACTGCCATGACTACACAGCTTCAGCCCCCTCCCCCTATATCACCCAATAAAAGCCCACAGCACTAACTTTTTGCTGCTGGTGTATCTCTCCACACCAAGCCCCTTTCCCCTTCTGGGAAAGTCAAAACTTTGTCCTCTGCACTTTTCTTCTCTTTGTGCATTCTTTCATAGCCCACATCACCAGCCACCCCAACAGAAAGCCTCTTTCAAAGTCTATCCTCAGAGAGCACTACCTGATCAAAAAGTCAGAAGACTGAAAGGAAATACATCATTGAACTGTAACGAATTTCATCTGCAGTTCTGAAAAGTGAGTCCAATGTCTAACAGACAGTTGTTCTCCTGGCTCAACTCAGGAGTGTCCTGAGCCAAGAAGGAAGGCATCCCTGTGGGGAGAAAAAATAATTAACCCAGAGACAGTCACACCAACAGGGTAGTGGGTTCCCAGGACACCACATGGTGTCACCTCCAAGGGTCCCAGGACACTCTGACTGGGCAAAACAATCTTGTACAAATGTGTCACTATCCCTCAACTTCAGTTTCCTCGTCTATTAAATGACAGAGTAGAAAAAATGTTTATTAAGTTCCTTCCAACTGAAAGACTTCAATTCCTTGTTTCCCTGTTGACCCCAGGAAAGGAGATGGGGAACAAATTACTCACAGGAAGTGAGTAATTGTGGTGATCCTGGAGAGATGAGTGGGAGGGGATAGTCCCAGATGCCCTCCAACAGCCCTCTGCAGAGAGAAACTGCAGTGAAGCAGAACTTGGGTGCACAGGGGAACAATGAACACATGTCGTTCTAATGTGTCCTGTAAAATGTGTGGTTGTGATAATTAGAGTATGTCACACTAACAGAGTGTCTCAGGAGCTAGGCATGGCTGATACTTCCTTCTCCCTCACCTGCACCAGGCCCCCCCGAGGTGGATGAGCACTTCACCCACCCCATGATGCAAATGTAGACCAAGTCAGAGAGGTGAAGCCAGCAAGGCACAAAGCCAGGATGGAGACCAGACTCCTTGGTTTCTGAGCTCAGGCTCCTAAGCTGTGTTTTTCACAGCCTGAATCCGTGTGAGACTATTGGTTCCACCACTTAACTAGTTACCTCAGCCAGATTGGAACAGAAATGATCAAAGACAGTAAACAGTAGTTAAAAGGCAAAGACACTCTCCCAGACTTTATCAGATGAAGACTCATTGTCACGTTCAACAACTCAGGCTTCTGAATTAGACTTCAAGTTGCACAAAGACTAGAAATCAACTCTTTCACTCTCTCTCATCTCCTAGGTTTTGAATGGAGGGACAGACACGTGACTTTGTTTGGGATCTATACCCTCACATTACTGAGTTGGGAAAAGCTCATCCACCAAAGCCACAGACAACAACAACAAAGGGAACAGCCAGATGGTGATTCATGGTGCCCACCATTTGGTGCACACTAACATGCTCATCATTCTGTCTTCTAGCTCCGCCCTCACCTCACCATTTCTGGCCTCACATGCCTGTCCAAGTCCATCCCCTTATGTATTTGAGTGGGGGAGTGTTTTATCTTCAAATAGACCCACTCACCCACCAACCTTTCCATCCACATCAGGACTCCAGCACTCCTCTGAGCTCCCCGACTCCAGACTCTTCCCACTTCCGTCTCTTGGTTTGTAAGGATGCCCACCCCAGCCCTCCACTCAGCCAATCTGCAGGAGTCCAGAACACAAGCTGTGATACTGCTCCTGTCCCCACCCCACACCACACGGAGGCACATAGAGCCCACATAATAATAACTATATAAGAACATGCCAGAAGTGTTGTTAAAGGACACACAGGAGGCTGACAGAAGAAATCCCTTGTGAGCTCTGGCCCTGGAAACACTCTCCCTATTCCTCCCCAGGCCCATGTGGCCACCCTGTTCCATAGAGCTGGACTCACCCAGATGCTGGCCTCAGGAACAGCCCAAGAGGAAGCCTGGTGAATTTATAGTCTAAGACGAAACTTAGTGAACTGTAGTTATTACAGCCCAGCAGGGTCAGGAAGGATGTGGTCTCAGTGTGGACTGAACAAGATTGCACCACAGGCAAAAGCAGAGACTAACTGATGGTTACTCACATCGCCGGGTTTTCCAACCCAAGAGAACAGTGTTCTCAAAGAAGGGACTGGATACAGCCACAGAAGTCTGGCCTCTCTCAGGATCCACCAGGTGGTGGGGTGGGTGGGGCAGGGCAGGAATGTTCAGCAGCTGTGTGAGTGTTGTAAGGACAGAGGAATGCAATGCAGATCCCCCCAGAGCTGGTGAACAGGGGATCCTGGGCTCTCTAAGACATCACATGGAGGAAGCAGCAGGTAGTAGGGGTTCTCTCCATTACCTGTTAATTTTTAACCATTTTATTGAGGTAAGTATACACCATGAAACCATCACCATCAAGGCCAGACACACATTTATCGCCTCTCAAAGTGTCCTCTCTAATGACGATGATGACAACAACAACATGTATGTGTGATAAGGTCACTGAACATAAGGTCTACCCTTTTAGCAAATGGTAATACACAATGCAGCATTATTCACTATAGGCACTGTGCTGTGCAGTAGACCTCTGGGACTTTGTCATCTTGTACAACAGAAACTCAAACTACCTTTTAACTAAGATGCCTTTTCTGTCTCCTCCCAGTGCTGGCAACTGCCATTCTACTCTCTAAGTTTGGCTATTTCAGATTTCATATATAAGTGAGGTTACAGAGTATTTGTCTTACTATTTCACTTGGCATAATGCTCTCTAGGTCCCTCCATGCTGTTCCAAAGGGCAAGATTTTATTCTTTTCATGCCTGCTTTCACGTCTTGGCTATTGTGAACAAGCTGCAATAAACACAGGAGCGCAGATATCTCTCCAAAATCCTGATTTTATTTTTTTTGGATAAGAACAGACTCCACTCCCTGAATCACTGACTCAATTATTTGGCTGACATTCATGGAGCGCCTAGTGTGAGCCAGGCACTCCCACAAAGCTGGACAGCTCTGTGCTTCACCCAGGGAGCTGGGGATGAAACCCACAGGCCTGTGTCCTGGCTCTCACAGTGGTTGCAGGACCACAGTCTGACAGCAGCATGAGTTCAAGAGAGTAGGGGAGTGGGAGGTGCTCAGCACCCCAGGTGGTTTCAGGGACTCTGGAGCAAGAACAAGTGTCCAAGTCCAGCAGAGCAGTAATTGGCAATTGACTTTGTCTCTTTGTGCCTCAGTCTTCTCATCTATCAAGTGGGACAAAAGTAGCTGCCCTAAGGATTGAACAAATGGATAAATGTGAGGTCTTAGAAATGCAGCCTGATTCAGAGAAGCCAGTCAGAGTGGCCAACTCCCTGTACTGCCGCTGTTGGAACACCACACAGCTTGGGGAGATGGGAGAGAGGCCTCTGCTCTTACTGCGGCCGGGGTGGGAGAGCAGCCAGGTCCCTCTCCTCTGTGTTACTGGGGCCAGGTCCTGTGGGGGCAGCGAGGACCCTGGAGGCTGACAGGCAGAGACAGCACTAAGACCAACTTCCTAAGGGAAAGGGATGCCTCAAGCACCAGGAACAAGGGGTTTTCTTTTTAGGAATGAGGGAACTTTCCCTTTCTTCTTTGTACCTTTCTTGTAGTTAAATCTTCACTTTGTTGCCATGAACTTGCATTATTCAAACCAAACTAAAACAGTAAATGAAAACAACAAACTAAACAAGTGAAATTAACTAACACTGCTTCTTCAACATAAGCCCTAAAAGAAATCCTCCCATTAAATGGTTATCAGGCCCTGACTGGTGTGGCTCAGTTGTTTGGGCGCCATCCTGCAAATTGAAATGTCACCAGTTCAATTCCCAGTCAGGACACATGCCTGGGTTGCAGGTTCAATCCCCAGTTGAGAACAATAGATGCTTCTCTCATACATAAGTGTTTTTCTCTCTCTTTCTGCATCCCTTCCCTCTCTCTAAAAATAAATAAATATTTTTATAAAACAACAAATGCTTGCCCTGGCTGGCATAGCTCAGTGGATTGAGCATGGGCTGGGAACCAAAGTGTCCCAGGTTCGATTCCCAGCCAGGGTACATTCCTGGGTTGCAGGCCATAACCCCCAGCAACCGCATATGGATGTCTCTCTCTCTCTCTCTCTCTCTCTCTCTCTCTCTCCCCCCCTCTCTCTCTCCCTCCCTTCCCTCTCTAGAAATGGATGAATAAAATCTTTTTAAAAAAATGGTAAAAAAAAAACAAACCAACAAATGCTTATCATAACCTGCCTGTGAGGAGGTGTGCTGTGCTACATGCATTTGTATGAATGTAGAAAGAGAAATTGAGTGAATTTAGGACTTTTTAAAAAAGATTTTATTTATTTATTTTTAGAGAGGGAAGGGAGGGAGAAAGAGAGAGAGAGAGAAACATCAATGTGTGGTTGCTGGGGGCCATAGCCTGCAACCCAGGCATGTGCCCTGACTGGGAATCAAACCTGCAACACTTTGGTTCACAGCCCGTGCTCAATCCACTGAGCTACACCAGCCAGACTAATTTAGGACTTTTTAAGGATGCAGTCAACTAGTTAATGGTGATATTGATACTTAAATTTGAGGGGCCTGACTTCTAGGATGAGATTTAATTTTTCAATGTTGAATAATCAAAATAAATTGTGAATTATTTTTTCCCTCCTAGAACAATTATGTACTTTTCATACTGTCCTAGTAACATGAGGTCTATCCAGAAGGTATCCAGCCATGTACTATGAAAAATAGAGACATTTATTGAAGAAGATCCAAGATACAAGAAACATTCTACACAGGACAATAACACCTCAGTCCCCTTCAAAATAGGAACCTCGGGACCTCCAACAGCTCTTCTAATTGCCATCAGCTGCCCCATCATATTTTCCTGAATCTCATCAATGGTCTGAAATCCCTTCTCTTTCAATAGGTGATTTAAGTTTCAGAAAAAGGGGGGACTTCTGGCCAAGATGGAAGCATAGGTAGACACACCGTGCCTCCTCACACAACCAAAACAAGGACAACAACAATTTTAAAAACAAAAAACAACCCGAACTGCCAGAAAATCAAAATGCATGGAAGTCTGACAACCAAGGACTTAAAGAAGAAACACTCATCCAGACCAGGAGGGGCAGAGACAGGCAACCAGGCAGAGAGGACTCGCAGCAAGGCAGCAGCTGGAGGACATGGCACTGTGGTGGCTTGCACACTAGGTGGTCCCACATTCGCGTGCAGTTTAATCAGGAGGAACAACTGGGGAGTGAAGCAGACTGCACAACCCAGATTTGCAGCACAGGGAAATAAAGCCTCAAAGCCTCTGACTGAAAACACCTGTGGGTGTTGAGGCTGCAGCAGGAGAAACTTCCAGCCTCACAGGAGAGTTCACTGGAGAGACCCACAGGG